GAACAGTAGCAAGACTACTACTATAAGTAAGGATTTCAGTATATTCTCTTCCAACAACAATTTTCTTTTGAAATGAGAGTAGAATTAGCACTAAACTTTAAATTGTATCCAAAATATAACTCAGAACCAAAACTTGGACCATTTAAGGTTCAATACATGTATAGATCATAACCTTGTTGCAGGGGTGGGATGACAAAAAAGCCAGTTTTCCTGCTTCAACATGTACAACAATCAACAAAATGATAAATCAGTGGATTTCCGAGCATTGTTCAATCCCTTTAACCCAGATGATACCTCAAACAATCCCTAGCTGTGAGTTCAGGAAAGGAGGTCAGGCCAGGAGGTCAGGAAAGACACAGAGGATTCAGAGAACCAGGGGTAGAGCTCCCCTTGGAGAGATCGTAGCAGAACCGACCAGGAAACAGCTGGATGACTGCGGAAATAGAGCCCAATGCATGAAACTCTCAACCAACCAAGATTCACTCCTAAAATCAAGGAGGATCCCATAAATAATTGGCAAAGATCTAGGCTGAAATCCCACAGAATAGGGAGCAACTTTATAAATACTATGTAACGCCTTATCGAGGAGGGAGACCCTAGAAAAATCCTAATTAGATCATGCATTGTACGTGAATACATTCGAGTAATCAATAGAGAAAAAAGGAGCAAGAGCCTTCATTGGAGAGTGGATTAACTGAGCTCCAGAACCGGTGAACCACTATATTCTTACTGTACAAATTCCCCTACCCTCTAAGAAATACTTCATCTCTGTCATTATGAAGTTGACAGCCTAGATTTACTTTTGGTCTCACGCACTCTGTTCACCCACGTTAGTTTGCACCATCAAACCCTTTCCACCATCAAACCCTTTCTGAACTAAACTAATTCTAGTTTGAACATCTATTTTCAAGTCAAACCCAAACTCAGCCAAGTAATCAAAGTCTCTAGTTTTGGCTCTTTTGACAGTTTTTACCGCGAATTTGTTCACACGATACAATAGATGAATGGTAGAATCCTTATATTTACTTTAAAATGCCAATAGTTTGGATTCTTGTGCAATGTTTACTCGAGGCGTTTCCCTACCTAACCTCATATTCGGAATTGATCCACCTCTTAGCGTCACCACTTATAATTTTTCTTAGTTAACTTCAAGTTTAATATGTCTAACCATGACATAATGTGGACAATTATGAGTTGAGTTGGTTTTTGTACGAAAAAAATATGCATCCGGAGTTAAAAGTGGGTAAAGGTGTAGTTGATTTTGGTGAACATGACATGCTAACAGACTAGAGGATTCTACTGCAACTACTGCACATTTGCGCTCGAGTTCTTTACCTGCCAATCCCAACCATGGAGGCCATGAGCATCGGTATCATCTTCTAATTTGAAGCATTTTTCAGTCTGTGAGTAATTGTAGTATAAGCTTGCAGCAGCAAAAACCCTGCTGAGCTTGGTAGTTTCAGGTGACAATCCATCGATAATCTTGCACATCTTCATCCCAAAAAAAAAAGAACAAAGAAAAGAGTAGTGAGAAAAATAATTGTTCGAAAATCTCTGACGTTACTTTGAAATTTTTGTGATGAGTTTGTCTATGTTACATTTGCTACCTCTTCTACCGGATAGGCAGGCAATGGCATCATAAAATTGGCTTCCATGGGGTAATTCACCATGGCTGTGTAAACAAATGCTGACCATAACCAGTCCCGAGCAGAGTAGATTGATCGAAGATTCCTGAAATTTTTAGCAAAACGAATAGAAGAAATCTAAGTTGTATACACCTTATTCACCTCAACATATGAATTAAGCTATATACTGTTGATTCCTCATATGTACACTCTGATTGCTTCAACTTCAAGGTTGAAAGCGCAAGTTGCTCAGTCTTCGAGCCTCTATGTACTGTATTTACTTTAAAATGTGAATTGAGTTTATGCCGTAGATTTTAGTTTGAAATATTCGTAACCATTGTTAGTAAAATAAAAAACTGCAAGTAAATTATTAAAATAAAAAAACTTTAGGCATGTCACGTTTTTATGAGAGAAGAAAACGAAATACATGTACCAAAAATATCTCCTCCGTACTCTAATCTAAATGATTTATAATAAGGGTGTAAATTTTCGACACAGACATGTTAACACGACACAAACTAAACACGAAATTAAACGAGTCAATAGGTTAAAACGGATCAATACGTTTAAACATGAAAAAAATTATGTCGGGTTTATGTCAAAATTAAGTCAAATTAGCCCGTATATTTTAAACAGGCTAATATGATATGTACACGAATCTGACTTAACCGATTGTAGACCCGTTTAACCCATTTATGACAATATGATTTGCCTATTATGTATGACTGATATGGTCTTAACATTATTACTTATTAGTTATTACTTCTACTTTGATAATTGACGACATATTTTTTAATATTATTATGACAATATAGTAGTATAGTTCTTGCTTTAATTTTTTAGTTGAAACTTGAATGCATTTTAATTAATTTCATTGATAAAATGTGATATATTATTTATAAAAAAAATTATTTGAAATTTTGGATAAATGATTAAATTGTGTATTTAATAGGAATGAATATTTGTGAAAACAAGTTATGTGTGTTAAATATGTCTGTATTACGTGTGTTAATTTAAAAATGACTTGTTTATTAAACGTGTCAAACATGTCATATTTGGGTAACTCGTTTAATGGTCAAGTCAAATTAGTGTTTAGACATTTCGACACAATTATTAAACATGTCAAGTTCGGGTTTTAAGATTTTTAACACAAACTTAAAATCAATCCCACACAAAATAATCTAATTTGACACGTTTCACACCTTTAATTTATAATATTAGTTAAGCCTTTTGACCAGCGGTTGTGGATTTGCATCTCAATGCTTATGTTTCTCAACTCTGAACCACCTTGAGTTTATGTATCAAACCTACCTTAACAGGTAGAGAAGCCTTAAAGTAATGGCCTAAAAAAAAAATTGGTGGGCCTTGGGAGTTGAGACATGAGTACGATTTGGTGTAATTACATGGACTTCAACATAAAGGTCCCCCAAAAAAGGGGAATTCTACGGTTTTGAATTGGATGATTGATTTCCTTTAACAGTTGTAATTTGATCATTAAAAATTATATTTCGATATCAATCTCAATCTATTATGATCGAACATAACATTTAAAAATTTTAACTTACATATTAAAAAAATTATAACTTAATTTTAAATAGTTATAACCAACAATACCTCCTTCGGCAGAGTAGAATTCCCCCCAAAAAAATTGTCCTACAGTTTTATTCCTTTCTGGTCTTTCCTCCCTGAAAGTTAAAACTTACTTGCAAGTTTTGAAAGTCCTGCTGACTTCAGCCAACCCTTCTTTTTGAGTTGACAGCTCATCAAGTTCTGCCCAGCACCCCCTTATCACCTCATAGCAGTTCAAGCTTGCATCCTGCTCACAACCATGAAGTTTCCAAATAAATATTTGTGTGTGTTTGTGTGAGAGAGAGAGAGAGAGAGAGAGAGCAATTCAAGCTTGGCCCCATAGCAATGAAGTTTCCAAATCAATGTGGGTGTGTGTCTGTGAATGAGAGAGAGAGAGAGAGACAGACAGAGACAGAGACAGAGACAGGGATAGTAATTTATGCTTGATGTAAGCTTGCATCCTGCTCATAACCATGAAATTTTCAAATCAATGTGTGTGTGAGAGAAAGAAAGAGGGGCTCTTTCCCTTTACAGGACCTTGTAATCCTGAGAAACAGCATCATAGAAGCTAGACCATGGAGTTATGCCATCAAACTGCAATATTGGGGCTGAAGAAGCTAATGCTCCGATGGCTATATGTGGGTATTTCAGTCTAAACCAGGCAGCCAGCACTACAAGAGAGAATATGTTCATTGAGCAACAGTGAAGTGTAGTTACAATTGCGTGATTTTTAAATCTACTGCAGCAATTTTACAAAAGCATTAATGGCAGTTCTATAAATGAACACCAATCTGGAAATAAATGCACCTAGCAAGAGAAAACTTCAATCATTTGACATAGATGAGGTATCTGAATCCAAACTTTTTATTTGCATGCATGGGAATGCATACAACCCACTAAAAAGACTTAGTTTTTACTAAATTATCATGATTTTCAATCTTATTCTCTCTCTACCAAGATTTGTAACTTATTCTACCATTATTGGTTTGGAAACATGTTCTATATCCAAGTTTTGTAAGGTAGAGAAGGTTTTTGTTTTGTAGGTAATTTAAATCACATTTTTGTAGAAATATCAGTAATATTTTATAGATAAGTTAGAAAATATGATACTGTAAATAAAATTGAAACAATTGGTTCAGAAAAGACTCCCCTTATTTCAGGTCATGTTGATTGAAATAAGTCAAAAGCAAAGAGGGAAACTTTTGGGTTTTGGCCTTACTTCCTCCATAAGACCCACCAAAGACCACAACTGGGGATGTCTCAGAAGATAGATTTTTCTTCAAGCTCCTAATCAAAACTGCATAATCAGCCAATGCTTGCTGTGAATTCAGGTACCCCAGGGTCCTTGCTGACTTGTAAGACTTGTTCCCAAATGGCAATGATTCTCCATAAAACCTATGCTGGATTATTTCATTAAAAAAACACAACACAAACTCATGATCAATCTCAGTATCCATTAACAAGATACACCACCAGGAAGAGTTTTCAAGAACACAGAAAAAATAACATTATGAAAAAGGTTTTAATTTTGGAGCAATATCTTTATGGTATAAAAACAATCAACTAGAGACAGTGTTAACAAAAAATAAAAAAAGAAATGTCGTGCATAGAGGTTGTTTTTACGATTCGAAGATAGGACGCCCAGATCACAATAGAGCAAACTATCTCGATGCGTCAAGTGTCGCCCTCAAACTGTGCTGAGAAATACAAATATAGGGCTATTGAGTTTTTGGATCGGTGTAGTACCTCTATGAAGACTAGGAGAGCATGAAATTTTGGAGCAATGTCAAGCATGAAGCCAGTATTGGCTGCAAACCAGTCAATGTCCCCTTCATTTCCTGTGTAGACAAAGATGGGGGCTCCTTTGTGCCAGTACTGGTTGTTCACAAGGTATTTCTGGTAGAAGGTTTTGGAGCTTTTGGGTTGGAATGTGAAGTGATCAAGAAGCTGAGGAAAGTAATGGGTTTTGTATGGTATCTTTGGTTTTGTGGTCTTGGCTTGTTTGTGTGGAGAAGATTGATAGATTGCTCCGGGAAAATATGCAGGCATTGATTCTATAGCTGTTAAAGATATGACAGAGAAAAGTAGCAAGAGAAAGGATGAAGATGAAGCCATTCTCTCTCTCTCTCTCCTCTGAGTGTTGAACAGAAGAAATTGTCCCAGGGATATTTTGTTTTGAAGGGAGGATGATATTTTTCTGATTTTTTTTCTAACTCTTAAGTTGGCCTTTTGTGAAGTTAGAACAAAGTTATTAGTCTTGAGGATGTCTGTGTACTGAACCTTTAGCAGCTTTTGGTATGTAGCATGTGGTACTTCAGCCACTTAGCAGCAAGTGACAGCTCAGGGAGAGTCATTGTCATGCATGGAGAAAATAGGAGTTTTTTTGTCTAAAATATCTTGATTTTTATATTTAATTTCCTCTTTATCTATTTCTAAATTTTTTTTTGGGTTAATTGTATTGTAGGTCCTCAAAGTATAAAATTTATCTCATTTTAGTCTCTAATATTTCAATTGCATTATTTTGATCCCTGAAGTATTAAATATGTTTCTATACGGATTCTCAAACAGATAGCGTTCAGATTGTTAATGATTTTTTATCATAAATTTATTACGTAATACTTAAATATGGACAAAAAATAATTTGTATAACTTTTGATCAAATTTCTACTCAAATTTTAGTTAAATAGTTATCTAAATTTAACAATTTTTATTATGAGTTATCCAAATTTTGGTCAAAAGTTATCCATATTACACATTTTTTTTATCAAGAGCTATCCAAATTTTGTTTAAGAGCTATTAAAATTATTTTTTGTCCATATTTAAGTATTATGTGACAAGTTTATGATAAAAATTGTTAGCAATCTGGATGTTGTCTGTTTGAAGCACCATATATAAACATATTCAATATTTCAGGGGCCAAAATGATACAATTGAAATATTGGGGACTAAAATGAAACAAACTTCATACTTTGGGGACTTCCAGTATAATTAACCCTTTATTTTTTCAATATATTGTATCTCTTATATAAACAGGACCTTAGAAAAGTATTTTTAAAACACGCTTTTACAGTAAAAAATGTGAGTTTAAACTAAAAAGGGGCCTGGGGGCCAAGACCCCTCTTATTTTCAAAACAAATTCTTTTTAATGGACAATTGTAGAAATTTTCTCAATTATGTTTAATATATTGATCCCCTAAAAGTACCACAAGTATTGTGCCTAGTGGTTTAGACATTGTGAGTGAAAATTACAAAGAGGTTAGGTATTCACGAGTTTAAGTCGCATGAACAATATATGTGAAATAGGTTATGTATTAAATTGTGCCTAAAGGATTGGGTTGTTTTGTAAATTGATGACACACTGAGTTATAATTTTTGGACTATTTAATGAATTTGTGACGAAATAGTTGACGATGTCATAAATTTCATTTTTTTGCATTTTGTTGGTACTTTAGCGATTCTTCAATTAAATTAAGATGAAATTACTAGCTATTTTATTAATATGTCAAAAAAATTTTACATGTAGTTGGGCAAAATTGAAGTAATTTTTTCAGTATAATTGCAAATAAATGATAATCTAATGCATCGTTTTAAAGTTGGTTTTTTGTACATTTAATGCTACTACAACTTTTATTTGTGTTTCCACTAGGTGTTGAAACACTCCTACTATCACTGCTACTACTATATTTGGAAGGAACCAACTAGCCCTCGTTTGAGGCAATTGCAGTGGTGCATGCTATGTAGAGACAACTAGCCCTCGTTTGAGGCAATTGCAGTGTTGCGTGCTATGTAGAGACAAGCTTTATTTGGTGGACTCTGGTAGAGCCATTAAAGGATAAGGGTGGGCACAAACTTTTCCCCATACCATTTTTAGACTATAAATTTCATAAATTCTTAAGCATTAATAGTTATGTCCACCCTATTTGTATCGATTATTACATTCATCAGTAAATCTCTACTAATTTTTGGATAAGTTTCCAACTTATTCAAATGAGTTTTGGACATATTAAGATCATCTTGTAAATGAAAAAGACCATTATAAGATGATTTTGGTACTAAAGGGGGTTGCTCCCTTTACGTCATGTGTAACAACATTTAATGATCTCACGTGAGGTTGACAAGACCAGTCACGTGAGAAAGGTATCACAAGTTAATTATCAGCCAGTAGCCGAGCTGTTCAAAGAGCTCGGGAAGAAAGAGAAGAGGTCGGACCTCGTCATGACTGAGTTGTTAAAATAGTAAATGTGATGCTAAAAAGATACCTGAAACTCAGGCATTTTGGTTGAACGAATGGGCATGATTATACACTCAGCAGAAGGAATTACTAGAGAGATCTCAGCAATTTTCTGAACAGAATCGTCTGATTGAAGGAAGGTGTACCACCTCGAATCAAAAATCATAAAAACCCTAACTAAGCAAAGTTCTATAAAAGGCATAAGGAGCCAAGGTAAAAGGTACGTTGAACTCTCTTTGTCTTTTGGCAATTCACTCAGTTCTATTACTGATTTAAGAATCAGAGTGCCTTTGATTGAAGCACTTCGATCTTGGGTAGTTTGTTTGTTTTGTAGGAAAAGAAAACTAGGAGATCAAGTTCAGAACTCACTTTTATCAGAAAGATCAATCCTTCATTCCTGTAGGAGGTATTTGCTTGATCATTTCCGTTGTAATATTCTAACCTCCAGACATCATCCTTCAATGTATGTGTGGTGTGTGTGAAGGGGATTGTCACTCTTCCTTAGAATGATGTTAAAAGAAAGGGCAACGAAATGATGGATAAATGAAATATCAAATGTGTGTGTGAACGAAAATGCACCCCAAATGCAGAGAGACTTTTACTTGGAATTGCATTCCAACGTCGTCTCCTCAAGGAAGGAGGTGAATCGTTTTGAAGGTGATTTTGGTGAAAAACAAAGTGTAAAATCTTTTGTTGTTGAAGTTTGGTTTGTGATTTTTTCTTAACAAAATTGGAATGGAAAAAATGTTGGCTAATCCAAAAGGTTCACTCCAATGGGATTACCAAGTCAACTTGAATCCTTCCTCCAATAGAGCATAGATGTATGATTGATTCGTGGGAAGCTAAAGATGAGATGGAAGTGAGGATCCAAACATAACCCGTGACAAGTCTACGGGATATCAAAGACTCACATTCCTGTCCACTCTCTACCCAGTCAAACCGAACCATCATACTCTAAGAGGAGAAAGGAAAATGAGTTGAATGACATACCCAAGAGGAGGTCTCCCTTGAATTAGCCAACTTAAAGGCTTAGTTACTCATGCTTAAGGTAAAGACAACAATATAATGAGAAGACATTATGAAGAAATGAATATTGGAGCTAAGCATGAACGAAATGCACAATTGTAACTTACAGATAATTATACATGTCCATCACCTCTTACTAAAGATTGGATGAGAAACTACTCACTCTTCATGACTTTGGTAAAGCTAGAAAAGTGAGTGATGCTCATCCCTCCAAGTAAAGGAGTTGAATGGTAAAACATATTACACACGGAGCCAATCTTTGGTAAAGAATGAGTGAATCATGTTCCACCATTCACGGCTTTGGTAAAGCCCTAGAAAAGTAAAAAAAATTCACTCCTCTAAGGGAAAAAGGAAGCTCAAGACAATGGAAATAAATGAAAACAATAAATTAAAAGAAAACATAATACAAGCAAAGAAAGCAATAATAAGAAAGCAATAATAATTTTTTGAGGGTTATCCACTACCAAAATGTGCTATTTTCAAGAAAACAATGATACAAGAAAGTCATAATGACTTTTGGAGGATTTTTCACTACCAAAAGATGCTATTTATAAGAACGATGATATAAGAAAGCAATAATCACTTTTGGAGGGTTTTTCACTACCAAAAGATGTTCTTTACAAGAAAGATGAATTAAGAGAAAAAAGATGATCTTTACAAGACCCAAGGGGTGCTATTTATAGGTAAAATGGGAGAGCTTGAATTACACTTTGATCCCCTTCCTTTTTGATCTTTTGATAATTGGCACCTTATAGTTTGTAGCTTTAATAATTGGCACCATATAGTTTGTAACTTTGATAATTAGCTCCTCAGTAATTTGTAGCTTTGACGCAATTGGCTCCCCAGTAGTTGTTAGCTTTGAAGCACAAAATCCTAAAAAGAACAACAATCAATGCATTATCCCTAATTCATACAGTAACCCTAATTTGACTTATTTTGACTAGTTTAACTTTATTTAACTAACACAATTGACCTATTAACTTAATTAAATTATGCCTTAATTAGGGTTAATCACACCCTCCAACTAAACATTACTAGTCCCTAGTAATAAATAACAAAATAAAATCACTTTCATAAATAACACGATTACATTTATCATATGCAACAAGTTATTAAACTCTTAGGTGATCTCTAGTGGACGAGTTTTGTCTCATGAAAGTTTCTAGTGAGCTACCTATAAACTCCAGTCGAACAGATGCGTATGTGGGTTAAAGTGAATTAGCATCATGTTCGTTGGAATACCCAACCCTCAGTTTCGACTTACATCCTGCAAGCTTCTCTTTTACAGGTATTTATTCTATGAAAAAATTAGCATCAGTCACATTGGCATTTGAAATTCCCTATGCAGTAGGAATGGTCTTTCTAGAAACAATAATTGTTACATAACAAACATTCCACTTTACCACCCTCCATGGATAGCTTTGATTTTACAAACCTCTCTTAGAAATGTCATCAACAAAAATTTCCTCCGATTATAGTGACTTGTCTCTCAAAGGGCATGTGATCAGATGATGGTCAATCAAAAAATCACATGCACAGTTAGAAAGGGAGTGAAAGTCTTAAGAAAGTAGACTAATCATGTTCTTGGCATAATCTCATAGAAGAATATCAATACAATTAAAGAAATATTATTTAACATACCCCAATTTTCAGTTGACAACACACACATGCATCAAATTTGAGATCAATTAAGGCTTTTGTATAGGTTATAATGTGGCTAGAGATCGGCGGCTAACGAAATGACATCAATGATATTCAAAAGTTTTCCTCTTTTTAATGTAGTGTAGCACAACTCTCTCTTGTTTTTCGATATTTTGCCTAGAAATGACATTTCTTTATTTCATTTCTCATTTTTCAC